ATTAACGTATTTCTCTTTCCTAGGTTAATCCTCAGAAACACAGACTCCTTTTTGAAGTATTTGATGAAAACCGTTTGGTAGGTCCTTTTGTGTTAATATTGCAATGTATTAAAGACTTGAATGAAAGTAAGTTCATCTGGATTCAACATGGACTAAAAAAAACACACCGATCAATCTTCTGTAATGAAACCTAAAGCTAAAGGCAGACCTAATTCATTAACTTATCTGACATTACCACACTTTGGGATGCTCTGAAGCAGTTATATTATTATTCTTAACTTCTGATGTGCTTTAACTCATAAAAGCATCATTCTTTTATAGTGCTTTTCTAATGATATGGCCAAGTTCTTTGGTGGTATTGAAAGCTGCGCATTGAATGTTTATTTTTCCCACAGACAAAGTAGTACTGAAAATGTAGGTATCTCTGTACACAGTGTGAGAAGCTTTGTCAATGTGTGAGGAGTAGCATGAAAGAAAACAAGTGCATTTTCTTTGGAAATCTTAACAAGTGGACAGTGGATTGTGATCTTGTGGGTAGGTGTCACTCTTTGAATGGCAGGTCGTAAGTAAGATGATAGGGATAGCTTGTGCATTTATTTTCTCAGTGAAATCAAAACTCCTCCTCTGACTATGCTCTCATTTTACATGTGAAGATGTTTACTTGCCTGTCTTTCTGTCTGTACGTTTTATTGTAAATGAGTAAGGCTGGTAGCAGTACAATAACGACACTTGCATCCTAGGGCCGCTTCAGACATTCCTTCTCACTGGAATATATACCTTTTCCTTCTGCAATACTTTGAAACTAATAGGAGGGATTGAGCACTCCTTAGTTTGTACTCCAAACATGGTTTCATTCTGATAGCCATTATAAAGAATCTCTTTGTGCTTGAATAGTGTGTTGGCTATGAAGAACTTATTATTTTTTCCTAATGCTTTCTGCATATATTCGGTAATCCGTTGTATCTTTTATGGAGGTGCTGCTCTGCTAAAGTTGGGAAGAGTGAAAATGTATGTAAATATAAGTACAAACTGTCTAGAATAATTAGATTTAAGAAAGAAGAAGCTTGTTTCTTGGTTATAGGCATCACACAGTCCCCAAACCATTTACTTCTTGACTGGTGGTATTACCTGTCCCAAGTGGTTCAAATATGGTGTCTTTTTTTTAAAAACAATTTTAAAGGGAATCATCAGCATTTGTGGCTTACGTGGCAAGTTGAATATGTTTTTTCAGGATGCTCAGATGTTCAGCTCAACATGGTGTTATGGGCTACAGTGTATTCTTCATGAAGTCAAAAGTACTTTGTCCATTAGTCGTTGGAGCATTACTGCCACCTCCTGGAAGCCAGGAGGCATGATGAGAAAGTCAGGTTCCTGATTTTTTTGGGAGAAGGCCAATGCTTTCTTTGTGCTTTCCGCCAAGAGAATTCCTTAACATTCTTTCTCTAATCTAGAGTAGATAAGCTGTTTGACCTGTTTGCTTATGGGAGAGGAACCAATAAAACATTTTATTGGCATCAACTTGAAAATGGTGCTTTGTTTCCTATGTATGATTATATTTAGAGATCAAAGCATCATGACCTCATCAGTCACTGTATAGTTCTACAATAACCCCAATATTTTTCATCTTTTCCATCTCATTTGGTGAGTGGAAAAGGCTGTCTCCCTATTTCTCTTTAGGTTGCTCTCAGAAACACTTAAGTTTCTATCCCAGATGTCTTGAGCTGTTTTAAATAAGTCAAATTGTTGCCTTAGCTGTGATTGTTGTTTAGCATTGACAAGCTCCCCCACTTCTATTAAGTCATCTTCAAATGTCAGAAATCATAGGTGCCTTGCATTCTTTCACTGGGATACGCAGCTATGATCAGAATGTGTTTCATCTTCCATTATTTTAGTGGGCTTCAGTATTAATCAGCCTTTCTTTCTTCTACCTATTGGATGACTGTTTAAACTCCAGAATTGAGCAAGCTGATAAAACTGAAATTCTCTTACATTTGTGAGACTGTCCTCCCAATGGATAATTTACTCTTTATAAAAACTTGTCCCAAGTGCTTTTATTCCCTGTAACTTTTGGGAATAAACCGAAGCCTGAAATCTCTGCCTTTTTGTTTTTAAGAAATGTTGCCTTCTTGAAAACCAGGCCCAAAACTTACCTTCTTCAATATTAGGCTTAAATTCAAAGTCCTGCTGCATTGGTTATATCACCAGCAACTGGAGTTTTAAAAACTTTCTGTAATAGCTTTAAAAGTTTTCAGAGATCACCTGTCTTAGATTTGGTAACAGTAAATCTAGTTTGTTCTGCTGACTTGTTGCAAACTATGAGTAGAACAAAGAGCTTGAGCAGTTTGTGGAGTCCTCAATTATGGTTGTCTTTAAAAACACATTAGAAAAATCTGTCAAGAAGGACAGTGAGATCACTTACGAGATGGGCCAGTGAAGGGACTAGATAACTTTTTGCTGTCTCTTCCTGTCTTACAATAATAACTTGTCACAATTATGTATATTTCAAACAAAGTGTCAAAATCTTATTGATACTGAAGAAGTCAATGATGTTAAGATTTGAATGGAGCTATTGATACTTTTTAGAAATTATTAATTTTTTATTTATTTTTATGTCAACTCTGATTCAGCAAGACAGAATTTTGCATTTTAAAGGCCATTTTATGTTGACTAAGGAAGCTGTAGCTGGTTGGCTATACCTATACAGTTACACCTAAGGAAGAGCAACATGTTGAGAAATTTCACTTAAATCTTAAGCCTGAGTTGCCAAAGTATGTCAGCTTATCAATTGCTTAGAGGTTTCTTTAGTAAAATTGGAGAAACTTTTCAGATCATCTGCTGGGGGAGAAAGTGTTGCTTTCTTTTACTAAAAGCAGTATCTCTAATAAAGTGGTTGCAATTTGTTGCGTATCACACTAACAGGTTACAAACTGTGCTATTAATAAATTTGTTGTTAGGGAGAAAAGGAGCTTTAAGAAAGGCATTTTTTCCTGTTCACTTACATATCTTAAGGTGGTTTTTTTGTTGTTGTGGTTTTTTTTTTGTGTGGTGTGGTGTTTTGTTTTTTTTTTTTAATATATTGCTTGAAGTTCAAATGTAACTTTTTGAAACCATGACCAGAAGAATCTTTTATGGTATTTTCCTTTCCTCTTCTTCCCCCCCATCCCAGTCCCCCTCAAACATATAACATTAGAAGAAGTCCAGTTGGTAAAGCATAATGAAATAAATGAACTATTGTATTTGTTGGCTTTTTATGAATAAGCTAGTATTCATTTATTGCTGCATTCTAATAATGGAATTCAGGTAACGGAGGTTAAGTAAGCCCTGGAGTATAATTAGAAAACAAATTTGTTGCTTGCAAACAGGGTACTGTGAATTTGATTCTTGGCTCTTTTTTGGGAAGGAGGTATAAATGTTAATTTTACTGCCTTCTAGCTTAAAATACAGTAAAGGTTAAATAAACATGGAGCAGAAAAAAAATCTAGTAGTATGACCTATAAAAGTATAAATGGCCTAGTGTTCTCTTCTGTTTGCACTTTTTCAGCAGCACTAAGTAATTTCATGTTAGTGTGGTAGCGTTTAGTACTGCATCATATATAGCTTCTGTATTCAAAAGTACATTCATAACTAAATGTTTGTTTTTTAAAAAAAATGACAACAAAAAGCCACACTTAACATAAGCACGACTCAAGATTGTCTTTTTTCAGAAGTCCCACTAGGTGCCAGCAAAGGGCCTTTTTGGATGATATGAGTCAGTGAAAGAAACATTTTGTAGGAATTCTCAATCCCATTATTCTTGGAAGACTTGGCAATATATTAACTTCTTGACATGCTGATCATTTTATCTAAAAAATGAAAATAAATTAGTAATTAGCTATGAACGTGTGAGACAGTTTGTATATAATTACACAGAATAGCTTTCTTCTGTAATTGTGCTTGGTAATAGCATTTATCTCTGTGCCTACTTAGCTCAGTGATCTTAAAGTTTGCATAGCTGGTCATATATTTGTATGCCATAGTGAACTCTAATGAATGTCCGCTTACTGTGGGCTTCCAGCAAACCAGATGAAGTAGTTCAGTTTGTAAGAATAGTTTGTTTCTTTCTACCTTTAACAGCTGTAATTTGGAAAGGTTAAAATAGAAAATAAAAGGTTAACATGGACAGCTGAAAATAAATGCCAAATTATTAATTGGAATAACTTGTTGTGGTTCTAATTCTGTTGCACCTCACTGAAAATTATGAATTAATTGGCAGGAGAGGTTTCTACTCAGTTCAAATCTTTAGAAAGTGTGATTGCTTAACTGCATGTAGATTGCGAGATAATGTCAGATTTCTTTCAAGTTTTATTTAAGTAGTGCAGAAAGACTATTTTTTTTAAGGGGGAGGAGGCTTATTTCACTGGTTTATGCATAATTCAGAGCTCAGCAGTTTGCTAGCATGGTTACTATTTGGAAATTCAATCCTAGACTTGATACTCAATTATATGGGACTTCATTCCTACCAACTTCCTGTAATTCTAAACCTATGGGTAAAAATATTAGTAGTCATACGCTGCTGAGGAAAGTACGGACACATTGACTCAGCTAGTGCAGCTGCAGCAGGAGTTGCTGTTTTAAACTTGGAAGTACTGGAAGTTTATTATTGTATTCATTTATGCAAATTACAGAAGGTATAATTGAAACAAGGTCAGTAGTGTTTGTCAGTGTGTTGCAGCTGAGGTCGTTGGAATGTAAGTGCTTTGCAAATGAATGCTTTCTGACTGCAAGCAAAGACGGTCCAGAAACTGCAGTTCAACGAATGGCTGACTTATTTCAAGAGGTACAGTTTGTTGTTTTTTTTTTTTAACACTAGTATCTTGTAGAAAGTAGGACAAAGACTGCAACTTTTATGGGCTTTTACTGTTGTGATGTACTAGCTCTAGGTTCTGTGCAGCTGCCTGTAGCGTTTCTGCTGAAGGATCTTTGTGGTTTTCATTTGCTAACATGCGTGGAAATGAGAACAAATGGCACGACGGTTAAGATTGCATTTTGCTACCCAAAGAAGCAACACAGATCCATTATCGGAAACCTCTGAAGATGTTTTGGATAGTAACAATTGCACGTACTTCAAAAAATCACAGAATTCTGCACCTAATGTTACACAAATGAAACTGACTCCTAGACAAGTTGCTTATGCACCTGTAATGCAACAAGTAATTAAGCAAGAGGAAAGTGCAACTATTTCTTCATTGCAAATAAAAAAGAGCACCTCGCTGCACATTTCTTTACAGTCTAGAAAGCATAGTGGATGTTTTCGGTCTGGTGATGCTGTAGCTACTAGCGAAGACACTTCATTCATTGGTATTGGTAATGAAGGAAATTGTGGCGCTAGAATTGTGGTTGATCATCGATCTAATGATGGCCTTCTGAGTAATACTCCTCTGTGCAATGGCAGTCCTGGCAGTATTGCAGCCAGTGACAGTGGGTCGTTCAGCAGTGCTGGCAGTGACTATGGATCATGTGCAAGTACCACAAGTGATGGAGGTTCATATAGTAACAGTGTCATCAGTGACAGTGGTAGTGGCACTCTTTCAACGAGTGATGGTACTTTCTGTAGTAGTGTTGTACATGGTGATTCTTCATATAGAAGCACTGCAAACAGATGTAATCCCTATAGGAACAACTCATCTCAGGAAACTCTGTGTAGAAGTAATACTACTTTTGACCAAGATGCTTTGTCAGTGAGGAAGAAAACTAAAATTCCACTGCGACGTTGTTCATCACTGGTTATTTTCCCTAGGAGTCCTTCCAGTACTCCTCCAGCTTCTCCAGTGAGCTCAGGTCAACTACCACATAGAGGTGCCTATCAAACATCCCATAAATTAATTATTTCTCCTAGTGAGCTGGCACAAAAAGAAGATCAAAGCATTTCCAAGGGATTCCTTTCAACAGCAGTCAATGGCGTTCGACTGTCTAAAACAGTTTGCTCTTCTGGCGAAGTCAGAGACATACGACCACTTTACTCGAATGCATCATTACAGGACAAAAGTCAAATTTTGAATCCTTCTGAGCAGGCAACTTGTGAAGAAGTATCTGATGGCTTCTCCTGTATTTCAGTTCATCTCACTCAAAGAGCATTTGCATCAAGCAGTGAAATGGTTAATGGCTGTTGCAGTCCAGAGTTAAATCTGAACTCCAGTGCAAAATACCCTCATGTAAAACTGGCACGTAGCACATCTGCATGTTTACCCTCAAAAACAGATTCAGAATATCAGATTAATATAAATGAACTAGAAAGACCGAATGCACAGATGAGCAAAACCCACCATGTTTTGCAAAGAAGTGTTTCGTTGGAAGGATCACGTCAAAAAGTTTCTTGCTGTTTATCCAGCCTTAAATACAACTGTCATAGTGCAAGGACGTCTCAGTTGCACATACAGTTCAAACCTGGGAATGAAGGAAAACCAACTGGTGTTAAGAAAAGATATGGAACCTCTAAAAGGGAAATGTCTAGCACTGCTTTGTGGAGGCCCCATAAGGTGAGTGTTCTGGTTTATAGAAAAATTTGACGGCATTTTACAGTTGACATTTAACTGGAAAATAATAAAATTTACAATCAAGAGTTAAACGCAAGGATTTCAGAATTTCCTAATGATGTCAAACTGTCGCCACTAGGAAGTTAATTTTTATATTACCTGTAACATTTGGTTTTTAGATTTGTTTCTTGCATAGGTGAACAGGTCTTACAGTGAAATCCTTGTACTTAATGTATTATAAACAATAATTTCCTGCTTACATGAACTCAAAGGGATTTTCTTGTCTAGTTATCTAGACATGGGAATTATTTAAACTTTAGGTGAAGTTTTGTAGTTTTAAATACATAACTTTACTTCTCAATAAATTAATAGTAATTACTAAAATTGTTTGCGTATAAAATGGGTAAAAATGAGTGGATTATTGTAGAGTCTTTTAGGTTTATTTCATATAGGCTTTATTTTACAGAACAGTTTGCTGTATGTAGAATTAAAGATAAGTAATATTTGAGCAAAGAAACTGTAAATACCATTTGTTTCTGTATACACCCTGAACCACAGGAATTTTCAGAGTTTCCTCTCCTTTTTTTTTTTTTTTTTCTCCTTCCAACCACTACTTCAGCCTGAGCAGTACACTGTAACTTAATACCTCTCCCAACAACATTGCTGTTCAAATTATAGTACTTGAGTTTAGAAGGCTTATATTAAATATATTTTTTTGGTAATGAAACTCACATCCAACTAAACTGCAGAAGTGTGTTTGCTCTTACTAACTCTTAAGGCAGTTTATATTGTTAGTAAGGCATAAGCCACATGAAATGTGGATTTTAAGACTTGTTTAAATAACATTGTGAAGACTTGAACTGTCTGAATATTATATATTAGTTTTAATTGTGAATGCTGTTAAAAGTGCAACAATTAATGTTTACCAAAATTGTTGTAAGATCTCATTCTCTATGAACTGACACTACTACCATTTAACTAACATGCTTGTTTAAGCAAAAGGCTTTATGCCAAAGATCTATAGTTATGACAGTCCCTTTCTAAACTAGTAATATAACTACCTTGGAGGTATTAGCCTGTAATTTTTAGCCTGTTGTTGCCCTTAAGAGTAGTGCCTGATGATTCTACGCTTTTTGACTTCTTTAGAGTTTTGTGTTGCTTTTCGGTTAAAAAGAGTTTGAAGAAAAAAGCACTTTCCTTCTTGTAGAACTGTGGTCTATGTTTAAGCTTCATTATAAAACTCAACGGTAGATCACCGGTAATCACTATGTATCTTGTTTGGTGATTCCTCATCCCAAAATCAAACTGTAAAGTTGATGGTAAATTCCACAGTAAGCACAAACAGATTATGACTTATTTTAAGTAGTGTGGATCTAGTTATTTTTAAAAGGTATATTGTAAAAAGGAAAGCATGTTGAGTCATGCACTTCAAGTACATTTCTCGTCAACTTGCACTGCTAGCCTCTGTGTTTAATGGCAGTTGATATGTAAGATATATTTTAATACTGAGTGAATTTTAATAAATTCAGTTTAGATAGAATCCAAGTTCAGGATTAGATTGTTAGCAAACATTTCCAGAAAACCTTGTAGGACACTGGACTGACAATAGTTTTTTTCAGTTCCTGGGAGCAGTGTTTACAGTGGATCATGACATAAAATCTAAGGAGATTTAACTTTTAAAAGCACTTGATAGCATGCTTCTGTGATAGTTGAATATTTTTACTGTGTTAATGTGGCAGCATTAAGCTTCCTGAGTTCTTAAGATTTCATCTTCTGACCAGAAGATGAGAGACAAATTTAAAAATAGAAAAAAAGACTCTGAATCCCAAATTGTTGTAGTTATCTTGCACTTCTCCTCTATTTGCAAAGATTTAGATTTGTGCCATATCTATGTACAAATTAAAAAGATATCTGACATTGTAAAACCGGACACTAAAGGTTTCATAGCAGTGTACTTGTTTCAGAGTCCTTTATGCAATAACAGGCACAGGAGCCTTTCAGCCCTAAAATGGCCCTTTCAGTCATTATGTAAAATCAGTTTTTATAGAATATCCTATAAAACATGTTATCAAAAAATTTAAAACCTTCCCCCACCAAGCCAAGCAAAATCCATAGTTGACTTTATTGTAGTTCAGCAAGTCACTGAAATAAAATAGATAAAATAGATAAACATTATTGTATTTGCTATTACAGTCTATTGTATTTGCTGTTACAGAATCTATTACATAGATTCTATAGCAATCATTTAATTATATAGTCCAGTTAATTATCATGGTGTATTGTGACTCATTTAAAAATAAACAACTCCCAAAATATTTCTCTTGACTCCAGTTAGTCTGGCCTAGTATATTGATATGCTGAGTCTGGGTTCAAATTTAACAAGTTGATACTGGAGTAGCATTTAGTAATGTCAGCTATCTGTACAGAGCAGTCATGAAATCAAATCAGTGCTTTGGTCAGAGACTCGAGAGTCTGAAGCAACGAAAGGTCTATGCATTCTTTTCTTACGTGCCTAGCTACTAGCCTTCAGCCACCTCGTATCAGATTTCCTGCTTTCTATAATCAACAGCTTGTTAAAGGCTGACTTTAAAAAAAAAAAATAATCAAAACACCATTTCTGTGACAACTGCCCTTGGATTATTTTTAATTAAGTTGAAAAATGTGGAATGGTGATGGCCCACATACCACTGCTGATCTTTACTGGAAACATATTGAATAGGTTTTGCAGTAGATAGTGGAATTTCATTTATGCGAAGCAGGAGGAAGAGGTAGTCCATGGTTGCAGCATTGAAGGTTGTCCTTGACTTTGTATTTCTGTTTTAAATGGTTTTTTTCAGTGCATCTGTCTCTTGCTTAGAGTAGAAATAAATCTGCAACTAAAGCACTTTGACATCACAGATGTGAATTGGAAGGGTAGGAGTGAGTAAGGGACCAATTTGCATGTCTTCTTGCATATGGGAACTTTAAGAAGTATAGTGGAAGGCAGAAGCAGTGACTAAAGTTCTATTTCTTGTAGACCATAAGCAAACTTCAACAAAAAAAAAAAGCTGTGTTAATCTCTTCCACAAGTATATTATATTGACATCCCTGTTGACATTAGCCATTCCTTCCCTATCAGTATCGCTACTGATTAGATAATGTGAATATCGTAAATGTACTTGCAAATCTGTTTCAGCAACTGTATACCTTTAAAATAATTTCTTAAACAATTAGGGGAATCATTGTGTTATTGTCCTTTTATTTACAAGTAATTTTACTCAAGTTTTGTCTCTAGTGAATGAAATACACGTTTTGAAGCAAAAAAACTTCAGAGGTGGTGTAAAATAACCAAAACATTTTTTCTACTGTGAGGTTCGTGTCACAAAAACCTTTAGTCGGAACTCTCGAGTTTTTTTCACTAGGTTCTGGAACTCTGCCTTTTGCCTTTGTAAAAGGAGATGCTATTTGAGTCTTTTAGTACTAAATTTAAATTTTGGACAAACAGTAATTTGAGGGGGCTCTGCGTGAGGATGTCTCTCTTCACTGACGTACTTCCGAGCTGATCTGAACATGCTGAGGGGACCAGAACCTGTGCTTGGAAGATCTTGATTTCCTTGATAAATGCTTCACCACAAGTTAGCACTGAATAGCCTGAGTTTGTCTTCTCTCTTGCATCCTCTTTAAGTATAGGGCTTCTGTCTTAGCAAAACTCCTTCATAGAAGATAATGGTCCAACCAGGGAGAAGCGCCAAGAGAAGGGAAGGACAACTGTGGCTTATCTCCAGCCATCTCCATCTTTGCGTATTGAGTGAAGGGGCTGCACAGGTATCCGTGTCCCAAATCTGTGCAAGAAATTGAGGTGGAAAACGGGCAGGTGAAGCAAAAGATTATAGAGGCAAAGCACAAATAGACATCTCTTTTTGCTATTGTGCTATGATAACCTCATCACCTAATAATTTTCATATTGTTCAGCATTGCATATCTTGAAGGATCATGCTACAGGACTGTCTATGGCACATTGCTATGTCATGGTATAGCAGTTCAGTCAAGGAGAACTGAGGTTGAAAGGAAGGTGGTGTGTTTCTGAGGAATCATGGTGACAACTATGTTAGACTTAAATCACGTGATACTATTTATATTGTCTCTCGGACTAATTTTAGAAGTTGGAAGTATACATCAGAGCATTGAAGGGAAGACTGGAAACTATTAATCACAATAATTAACAATTTATAATTATATATTATAATGCTGTAAGGAACAGTGTCTGGGCTGTAGCAGAATACTTGAATAACCCTGTATATCAGAGCTCTAGCAGGTTATAGTCAGCAGCAAACACTACACGTACATATTAAGGAGGAGTTTTATTTGATTGTGCTCTGCACAAACTATGATTAACCTCATTCTGTTTATAGTCTGCAGCTGAACTGAGTTTGGGTAGGTTTCTCATGCCAACAAAAGGGGAAACTAAAACTGCAAAGCCATGCAGAGCAGAGCTCCTGAAACAGCTTATATAAATATTTAATTATCCAGCCGTCAGGTTGATTCATGTCCTTTTAATCTACCATGAGAGAGTGGGAAGCATCGATGGTGTGGCTACTTTGATAGAGCCACAAGCTATAGTTACTCTGTCTCTTGAGGCTTAGTATACATTTAAGAATGTGTTAAAGTAAAACTTGTTCCCAAGGCAAGGTAGAGACCTTCTTCCCTTTTTTCCTGACTAGCCAAATAACTTGCAGGCTTTCAGATATGAGACCATGATAATTGCTATAGTTTTTTTTTTTTTAATGGTACATAATTTTTGCTTTCTGCGAGAAATTATATCAACACTTTGGGTTAAACAAAAATATTTCTTGGAAAATGGTGATGGTGAATGGTTATGGTGATGTAGAAATCATAGTCTTTGTAAGACAGAAGCCCTTAACAAAACTAATAGTACCTGCTGTAAAATTGTTGAAATACTAACTATAAGGAATAATCTTTTAATCTATTAGAT